ATTTCATCCTCCATCAGGGATGAGTGCATCCCTGGTTCGGCTTGACCCACTTTGCTTGCCATTTATGATTGCCACTCAGTTTTATCAACAGGCACTTGCTCTCATCCTCTTCCTGAGCACCTCACATATTTGTTTGCCCAGATATGCATGCAGAAAAAAAAGAAAAATAAAGGAAAACAGAAGAGCTAAACCGGAAAATGTGTGAAAATGAAAATTGACTTACCAACGACAGGCCTGAAAATAAAAATAAATAAGAAACAACACAAACACAAATGGTCCTCTCCAGCTCAGTTAGCCAACGGCTCCTGCTGCTTCTGCTGCTCCTGCTGCTGTCAGCTGATATCATTTAGTGGCCGCAACACGAAAAGTAAATTACATTTACTTAATACAAAAGCTACTGTCGAATTGCCAGAGGACGCCATAGAAATGCGAGATGCGCATTTTATGTAGTTTGTGGAAAGTTTCTGTTGCTCCTGCTGCTCCTGTTCCTGTTCCTGCTTCTCCTGCTACTGCTACTGTTGCTACTGCTACTCCTGCTGCTGCTGATGCTGCTCCTGCTGCTGCTGTTCCAGCTGCTGCTACTCCTGTTGTTACTCCTGCTGCTTCTCCTGCTGAAGAGTTGCTGCCACATGTCGCATGCATAATCATTAATAACAAGTAAGAAGGCTCCAGTCGAGACTGCTCGACTAGGAGATACCCTGAACCCTCCAAGCTGATATTCTAATCATTCTGCACTTCTTTTATGCACACATACATACACATGCATCCACACGCAGGCTTATGCTAACTGCGCAGTTAGCAGCGGCTGCGCTTGGGCTGCGCTGCAATGTGGGCAATATTATGAGAATTTATTTGTTGAATAATTTCTTTTGTAGACCTTCGATCTTAATGAAACTTTCAGAGCGTAATCATATAGTAAATATGTGTGTACATTCCAAAGCACAAGTCTCTAGTATTTGAAATGCGTTTTTTACAAATTGGGGGAGAAGGGGGCGTGGTATCCAAAATCTGTAAATTACAAAATTTTTGTATCGGATAACTTTATATACAACGCAAATTTAAAGTCTCCAGGTTTAAAAGTGTTCAAACTAGGCTGAAAAAACCAAGTCGATTTTTCGATTATTCTCGATAAAAAAGTTATCGGATGAGTTATCGAAAAAATAAAGCAAACTCGTACTGCCTATGGTATACACGAGTATGCATGCCAAATTTCAGCTCTCTAGCTCTTATATCTTCTGAGATCCTTTTGCTCATACGGACGGACGGACGGACGGACGGACGGACGGACGGACAGACGGACAGGGCTATATCGACTCAGCTCGTCGTCCTGATCAAGAATATATATACTTTATGGGGTCTGCGATGATTCCTTCTGCCTGTTACATACTTTTCACAAAACCATTATACCCTGATTTCCCATTTTCAATGGGTTCAGGGTATAAAAACTAAATAGATTGAAGCTGGTGTGTCTTGGCTAGCTGTTGCTGGCTAATGGCATTCATTAGCACCCGCTGCCCTCTAATACACACACACGCAGTCCGACACGCACACACACACACCCACACTCCTTATAATAGTTGCAGGCAAGTTTCTTAAAGTTTCCGTCTTGCCCTTCTGCTGTATGTATTAGCTTGCTATGCCCTGTACTTATAGCACATGTTGAATAGGGGCTAGTTCAGCTATGATTGCATATGTATGTGTGAATTAGTCTTGATTATCTTGTTGATTTCGATAACGATACAAAGTTGTGTTTGGTTTATCGATTGGCTATGCTCAATCATAATATCAAGAGGTGAATATGAGAGAGAGAGGGAGAGAGAGAGAGAGAGGGAGAGAGAGGGAGAGAGAGAGAGAGAGAGAAATTTTGAGTGCTGGCAATTCCCACTCTAAGCCGTTTACAGGGTATCTGGTAGTCAATCACTTTGCCTTCTACTACTGTGCTTGGCCAGCGCCCAATTAATCTTAATTAAAGTCCTGTGCACGCCGCTTGGCTCAACTCTCGCATATGTGTAGGCGTGTCCGCGGGCGTAAGCAGCTGTTGCTGCTGTTGTTGCTGCTGTTGTTGCTGTTGTTGTTGCTATTGTTGCTGCCCCCATTCGCTTCCATTTCATTTAATTGTAATACATTTGTCTGCTGCTTAATGGCGAATTTACGTGCGTCGTATAAATCAACTTTTGCGCTCGACGATTTATTTATAGCATTTACGAAGCAAAAGCCGCTAGTCACGCCCCCAGCCCCCCACACCAGCTCACAGGCATTGATAACAAACCGAAAAAGTGCGTTGCAAATGGTTATATATTTAGCTCGGCTGCTAATTATGCAGCAATCGGTTGCAAGGGCAGCACTAAGTGGCAGCAACAGCAGCAGCAGCAGCAGGAGCAATAATTTGCTGCCTTTGCTGACCAGGCATGAATATAAAATACGCTGATTACACACCCACGCACACACACACACACACTCACACAAACTATTAGCCATTGTTGATTTTGTCGTTCAATTGTTTTGCTGTTGTTGTTGCAACAGTTGCTGTGGCAGCAGCAGCAGCCTCACTCCGTGGCAAAAGCTTTTAAGCGCAATCGACGGGATATTAATGCCGACTATTTTATCGCCAGCTGAAAAGCACTTTAAATCATAATCAACTTTCAGTTTACCGTTATTGTTTGTCATGCGGACAAATTGTGAATGATTTAATGAATGCGCTGAAAACGCCTGCTGACTATTTATATGCTCGCTCAGAGAGCGGAAAATGGCTAGCTTAGTTTTGTGTAAAGTTTTTAAGTCTTCTATATATAGACGCCTGCCTATGCTCGTGAGCTAAACTAGGAGATTTCTTGTCTAGTATTCAAGTAACTTTGTTCAACAATGAATTCTTGTCGAGAGAATTCTTGGAGAGCTGTGAGCGAGTATTATGCTTACAGTTATGCTCGGCTGCAGCATTCTCATTTTAATTAGAAAATTTTGGTTCTCATATAATAAAACTTTTGTAATATATTTCACAATAAGCTTGTCTATGCAGAGATTAATTTAGTTAGACCATAATTTTAGCTGAAAAACAAATGAGATTCAATTTAAATATTTTATATTTAATAATTGCAATTTTTGTTTAAACTTTTACAATACTGCCTTTACATTTTGCTTCTATAGGTAAAGGAATATTGATATATTGATAGCTTCATTATCCATTGCTCAAATTCCGATATATTTTGTGTATAATTTTATAGCGTAACATCTGCCGATATCATTATGTTATAAATTATAGGCTTCCCGGCTTTAAAAGGCTTATCCAGCTTAAAGCCGTATAGCCGTTTGTAGCCGAGCCATAATTATAGACTGTTAATGATATATATAGTATTATTATTATGAAAACACAAAAGCAAATCCAGTCACGTTTTTGGGGTCTGCTTAGTGCATTATGAATCGGTGCGCGCTCTGTGCGGCTTGGGGACAATTAATTAACTAATTAGCGCTGGGCGTTGCATTTATTATGCCAGTGTGGCAGCAGCTGGACATAATTTATGCACATGTTTTGTGTTTAATGGCAGCAAAAATGGCCGCAAATTCCAGCGGCTCGATTAGCCCTCGCTTCACCTTCATTACGGCTGAGCAGTTATGGCCGTGTTAGTTAGATATTGGTAATTGCTTGGCTGCTCAACTATCGTTTTCCACTTCGCTTCTTCGCTTGTCAATCAAAGCAAAATTAATTAACAGAGAAGCAGAACCAACAACAACAACAACAACAATAACAACAATAACAACAAATCGATATATGAAATCAACTTTGAATTGCACTCCAGATTAATTTTTTTGCTGCTGCTATTTGCTGTTTGCGCAAATTGCTTGCACAAACAGCTGGCAATGAGTCAACACAAATAGCGGGAGCAACAACTCAATCAAAAGCAAAGAACGAGAGAGAGGGGCGGCCAGAGGGCAGGGGGGCCACTGAGCGGGAAACGAAAGCGTCAAAAATTTAACAAATTAATTTAGCTGCGCGCTGAAAGGTATGCTACAAAATATTTACAAAATGAAATGCGTCAGCTTGAGTTGACTGTCGAGTGAGCTGCCAGCGGACCAACTGACTCACTGAATAGCTGAATGGCTGAGTAACTGTTTACGCTTTAAGCAATTTCCCACAGTGCCAGATAACAATCAAATGGAAAAACGAGGGCAGAACTCGCAGCGCTTTAAAGTTGAAAGATTTAATTAAACGGAAGTTAGAATTGTGGAACGAAAGTAGTGTCATATTACTTCAATTGGAGTCTTGAAGTAGGGAATGGCAATGCTCAACTAGGCAATACCCCGCACTTCAGCTAGCTGCACTTTGTAGCTATATCTTTAATAAAGATCTAATAATAGATACAAGTATCCATAGAGCTGTAAAAACTTTCTTAGAAATGTTATCTGATCTATCGGAAATCCATATGTCAATTCAATTCAATTGCAATCCAATTTCAATTTCAATTCTCTGGCTCAAGCTACTTAATATATTATTAAATCATGTTGTAAAATGTCAAAATATATTTTTCCAATTTATTTTGCAATTTCGCATAGCCCAGTGCCCTCAAAGGTTGACTTTTGTTTTCATAAAACTAAATGTTTTTGTTAGTTTCTCTTGCAGCTGCAGATTAGCTGAGCTGCTGCATATTTGGCATTGAAATCTTGGCCAAATAACAATATAGCTTAAGTAAGCTGGCCAAATAGCCGAGAGGCCAAGTCGGGCAAAAACAGTCTCCAAGAATTGTGAAATAAATTGAAAAGGCTCAGAGGCAGGGGGAGGAGGAGCTCAGCTAGATGGTCTGGCTGTCTGCTAGCTAATTGCTTGTAATCTTGAGCTGAGGTAAAGCATATTTAGAGATATTCTACAAACACACACATACATTTCTCTTTGTATATTAATATACACAGATATATATGTAGACCCATATTTATGTTTGGCATCGATTTAAGCTGGGGCAAAAATTTCAATTAAAAACCAGAGAATAAAGGCTTTCCTCTCCTTGCAGAGTTTATGGTGTGGTCTGGCCTGGCAATTAAAGGAGCAAACGGAGCCAAAGGAGCAGCAGAGCTGGAGCTGGAGCTGGAGCGGGAGCTGGAGCACGTTTTATAATTAGAAAACATAACGAATTTGTAAGCAAAATCCTGAGCTTTGCATTCGCCTAAAAGTTTCCAAGTGATTAATTTCACAATCACAACGACGGCAACGACAGCCGAACTGGGGCCAACAACAACAACAACAACAACAACGACAGTCATTTAAGCCAATTAAGCGACAACAACAACAACAACCGGGCCCAAGACGTAATCACAGCAAATGCCGCCATGAGTTTCCTCAGCTCCATGCAACAATATGTAACAAGTGGCATATCCAGCTTGGGCCTCGGCAATCGGCGCTTCTCGCTGTCGCGCCAGGAGTCCGCGGAGCAGCAGGCGGGCGCAGGAGGCGTGGCTGGCGGGTCAGCAGCGCTTGGCGCACAGCAACAGTTGCTGGCACAGCAGCAGCAGCAACAGCAGCAGCTGCAGCAACAGCCACAGCAGCAACAGCAACTGCAACAGCAACAGTTGCTGCAACAGCAGCAACATGCGCACGCACCACTACAACAACAGGCGAGCATTGGCAGCGGCCTGGGCGGCGTCGGCGTCGGCGTCTACGGTGCGCCCACTGCGCCCAACGCGGGCGTGGCTGGCGGCGGTGCCGGCGGCAGCAATTATCCAGCCGGCGGCGTCGTCATTGGCAATCCAAATGCCACTAATCCATTACTAGGTGAGTCGCCCACGACGCAGCAAACAAATTCAGTACATTAGTGTGATAAATGGGGTTTGCCCCAAAGGCAACTACACGCTGTCTGTCTGTGTATGTGTAGATGTGTGTGCGTGTGTATGTGTGTGTGCCAAAGTGTGGCAAGATTAATGAAAATCCATGACAAACTAAAGATACGTATTACTTTTAATACCCGTTCATTAAGAGTAAAGAGTATATTGATTGTGTAAAGTGCTCAAGCAGCTGCCTGATTGTATTTAAGAAATTCTGAATGTTTATATTTTATATTATTTCTTTGTATTATACATATATATTCGCATTCAAATTTTTGGTTAGTTGGCTGAACTTGACTTGCTTTTGATTTACTATGAATAATTCCAGATCATGAACGGGTATTAGACAGTCAGTTATGCCCTACTGCCATATTCTTATTGGTTTGATATATGCTTGGGCAAAATAATAATGTTACGAATGCGTTGGCAAATGGAAAAAAAGTAATTAATTTTTATGAAGAGCAAAAAATACTGTAATTAATGACGGTTTGTTTTTTTGTCGTATATTATATATACAAATATATAATTGTACATAACTTGTACATAACTTATGTACATTATTTCCACTAAATTGATAAGACTGTGGCTTGGGCCTAACGTAAAGCGTAAGAGAGAGAGAGAGAGAGAGAGAGAGAGAAAGAAAGAGAGAGAGAGAGAGAGAGAGAGAGAGAAAGAGAGAGAGAAAGAGAGAGAGATGAGAGAAAGAGTGAGGGAGAGAAAGAGAGGAAAGAGAGACAGAGAGAGAGAGAGAGAGTAAAATGGCTTCACATCTGTTGAATTTCTGCTAAATTATTTATTCAGACAACATGAGTGTATTAAAGAGGAGAGAGAGAGAGAGACAGAGAAGTACTGAAATCGCTTTAATTTTAAGTCAAAGCACATGAGAGTCCTAAATCTACTTTCCCTCATTGCAAGGGTCCTATTCGTCATGCACATGCATGTTCGCATTTCTCTTGCCGTTGCACATTTTGAGCTCATTTGACATTCTGATTGACCCCAGAGGCTGGCCTCGCTCCGTCTCAGGGATGCCATTTATAGGATAGCTAAGGTTTATGTAAGTGAGATAACGGGCAACTTATATAATCTTACGCACTATTCCTGGCTATGGCAAATGTTTGTTTGTGCTTGAATAAGCTGAACGGAATGCAACTAGCATAGTGAATGTACTCAATTAGTATTCATATTCATATAACTTTTCAGTTGCATCTCTCAGCTGAGTTAACTTCAATTTCGCATTACTCATACGCCATGTGTTTCAGGTACACAAGTGCAGCTTCATTTGCCTAGCTGAGATGTTATTATGGTTAAATGCAAATATTACATTTCTACTCGTATTACTCATACGCCACGTAGTGCAGTTACACAAGTGCAGCAGCTGCTGCTGCTGCTGTTTCATTTATCTATTCCAGCTTTGAGCTTCCCTGAAATTCATAAATGCCCATTGAATATTCAGCCAAGCCAAATGTTTAGCTACTCAGCAAGTTTGCTCAAGAGCATTTACACGATTCGGGCATTGCGCATACGCCATGTGGTGCCGATTGGCAAATGCAGCTGCTGCAAGCAAAACCAAATCCATAACAGAATCAACAGAACGCTGAACGAAACAAGAATCAATGTGTAATCGAGAGCTTTTATTTCCGGGCTCGCCGCAAAGATGCCAGCAGCCGATGGGAGCAAAATTCATATCGAATTTGCCAGGCGTCATGTTTTCCAAATGCAGAAACCGAATGTAACTAGAACATTTCGAGTTCGAACAGCAAATGTGGTCGAAAAGTTTTTGTGATTATTTTGCTGCTCTTTTTACATGTGTGTGTTTGTGTGTGTGTGTGTGTGTTTGTGGTGCAAATGGTTTGAAAGTCGACGAGATAAGCAAACAAATCCGCAACCAAAAATAGAAAGAGCAAAATAAATAAGAACAAACTGCAACAGAGAGCAAAAACTGTGCAGCGCCATTCGTTGGGGCAATCAACATGCATATGAGGTCCTGCTGAGCGCTGTTGCTCCTTTCGGCAACGAAAACTCGTTTTGCCTGCCGGCAAATCCAATGCGGGACTTTAGTAGTAGTTGTTACTGTCGTTATTGTTGTTGTTGTTGTTGTTGTTGCTGTTGCAAACACATTTCAAAGTCAAGACACAGACACAGGCACAGACGCAGCAAGCGGCAAGCGGCACGCTGCAAGCCGCAGAAACCGCTGTTCAGCTGATTCGTTGTCCTCTGTGCGTGTCTCATCGTGGTTCGGCATTTGCTTAGCATTTGATTTACAAACGTCTACAGCATTTGAATCAAATTGAAATTGGCTTATCTTTTTGCACGCGCCACCAACGAGCGGTTTTTGGCCACATGACAACGGGAACGAGAACGAGAATCAATGCTGAAGCTAAACTTAACAAGTTTTGGCTATGGAAGTGGCTTAGAAAAATGGCTAAAAAGGGCTTAAGAAAATAGCTTTGAAGAAGAAAATCTGAAGTTAGAGAAGGAAGCCTGAAGAAGACCAGCAGTTACTCTGCAAGATGAATGGGTGGGCTAAGTTGTACTAAAGTAATACCTATAATAATATAGCTAAACTGTGTTTATGCAGGGTTAGGAATTAGGTATAGTATGTGTCTGTCTATAAAAACTAGTGAACTTGCTTTTCATACACATTAAAAAGACGCTTAAAATAAACAGCTAGATCTAGCGTGAAACTAGTCAAATGGTCAGCATTGTATGGATAAACAGCACTAGAAGGCGTGGCAGCTATAAAACCGCCAACGTGTAAGCGCATTTCCCGATGTGTCTGTCTGTGTATGTGTGTGTGTGTGTGTGTGTGTGTATCAGTGTGAGTCAGTGTGTATCTGTGTGTGTATCTCTGTGTGCCTTTCTATTTCCCCATACATTTGGCTATGCGGCTGTGTTTTGGGCTAACTTTGACTTTATGCTCGAATCTCTGTGTACATATGTATGCATACACAATATATGTATTCTCTTTTGGGTGCTTTTGCATAAGCAGCAGCAGCAGGCAGGCAGTCAGTCAGACCGGGCTGAAGCCCAAAAAGCTTTCATGAGGAAGCCGCAGCAATGGTTAGACAAATGGAGTGGCACTGGCATTCACATAGGAACTGCAATGCTAGCGTCATTGTCCTTGTCGCTGGCAGGAATACTAACACACAGCAGCTCGGAGCAGCAATACCAGCAGCAGCAGCAGTAGGAGCAGCAGCAGCAGGAGCAGGAGCAGCAGCAGCCACACAGATGCATGTCAAGGTTGCGGTTGTGTTGCTCTGAGCAACGCTTGTCCACATCCTGCCCCAAAACACCTACACCATGGCCTCCATCCATGCTATCCGGCTCACCCCCCTCCCCCTTCTCCCTTATGCCACATTGACCGCATCGCATTGACTTGACTGGAGCTTAGCTGGCGGCCTGACTGACCGACAGCCTTGTTTCCTTCCATGTTTCCTTCCTGCTCTAAACTGTAAACACTCCGGGCTACCTCTGCCTGCCGCCTGCCGCCTGCCGTCTCCCGCTAGCCCCGACCTCCCCTAATCCATTAACATGCGCTTCATGGCTAAGTACTCCCCATTGTATTAGAAGTTACGAGCGTTTGCTTCTCTCTAGCAATTGCATGACTTCTCCTTAAGCTCTGAGCATCAAAATAAAAAAAATTGAAGCCAACAGTTGAGAGAATGGGCGAATAATACGGAAAACAACATGAAAACGTAATTTGTCTTTTAGTTTTATTTCTCTTAGGTTCAAAACTCAATGCGACGCTTAAAACTCAAGGTCAATTGCAATTTAGTACACAGTTCTCCAGAGACACTCTCCGCTCGTATATGAGGCGGATGATGAGAGAGGAGAGGAGGGGTATTACTTTTAATACAAACTGAAAGCAAAATCAAATCTGGTCTCTACTACGAAGTCATGGGATATTTAATAGTTCGGCTTGCCGGACTCTTCTCCTCCTTCCACTTCTCCATTTATTATACATATATTTATATAATACATATATAGTACGCTCTTTGCTCTACCTATCGACTCAATATGCATTTGTATTTGTCTCCACAGGGTATCCCAAGCCACTGCCTGGTAGTGCAGCAGGTGCAGCTGCTGGCAATTGCTCATCCGCTGGGAATACACCCATCAATTCGCGTCGTCAATCGCGCGCCCTGGAGTGTTTGGTGCCGCCCCGCACGGGCTCGTTTCGTAGCCGGAACTCGCCGCTGCATCAGCCGGATCCGCCGCCGCGCCCTCCGCTCGCCTTCTGCAAGCGACGGCTCAGCTGGCCGGAGGTCGATCCGCGCTCCAATTCTGGGTAAGTGTGAGGCCCTAATGCATAGTTGATGATGTGCGAGAAAGTCGTAAATGGAATATTTTCCCCCTTTTTATACCCATTGAAAATGAAAATTCGCGGTATAATGTTTTTTGTGAAAATATATGTATAGAAAGAGACAGAACTTAAAAAGTAATGTAAAGTAGAGTAAGGCAAATTCTTAATGAGGACGAAGAGCAGATAAGAGAGGGCCACTAAGAGTCAGAGATCTGAAATTTGAAATTGCTGTAATAATTCTGTAGTATGGGTATTTATTAGTCGAGCACTCCCATTCGGAGTTTGTTTTTATTTCCGTGTGGCCTCCCGCTGTACGTTTGTTCATTATAATTAGCTACGGGGCGCCGCGAATAGCTATTTACTTATATAAATATACGTATACACATATTATGTATGTTTGTTTGTGCATTTGAAACAGCAATGCATAAATTATATAAGGTCTGCGCCTAACGGGCTCCTCACTTGGAGCTGCTGCCCATAAATTAAATATTTAAGGACCTGAAAGGCTTCTCGGAGAGAACTGAAATGAATTATTTACCAATTATTTTACGTATTACGTATTACGCAGTACATAGTACGTCTTACGTAGTAACGTCTTGCATTTGTTTTCAGTGCGCTCTCTTCCAAGTTTCAAGTGCGACCTTCATAATTATGTAATTACAAAAGTTTGCTCTTCGCTTTTGTTGTTTAGTATTTTATTTTTAACCCTCTCTACGTTGTAGTTCCAAAAGAAACTTTGGGCCACGCCCCTCACCAGCGCGCAGCGCCTCGCCTAAGTCTATGCAACATTGGCAGTTTCGAATGCGGGCCCAACCTTTTGAGCAGCTCAAACTTTTTGGCCAAGTTAAGCACCCACACACACACACGCACATAGATAAGGCCATATCTTAGCATTGAAACCTTGAGAAGGGACAGTGGAAGGTTTGCTAGCAGCAAGGTTGCAACATGCTGCAGCCACAACGACTGCCGCTGCCTCTGCCACTGCCGCTGCCGCTGCCTCGACGTCTGCTTTGCATAATGCGGCTTCAACTTAACCTGAAAATGTGCGCATAATGAGACTGTGGTCTTGAGGTAACATTTAATTAAGCATGAAATGAGATTTTGCTAGGTGTTGCTTTAAGAAACACCAAGTTAGCTGCACTCCATGAGAAGCGCCGAGAGAGGCGCGCGCGAAATGAATGTAATTAAAAGCCCTAACTAAGATGCTAGCAGGCCAGCACCTACTTAACGTGTATAAATAATGTATACAATAAAGAGCAAATATTTATGCCACAGTTGGTAAATACCAAAACACATTATGAAAGCTCTACAAATATACTAATTAAAAATGCATATATATGTAAACTTATATGTAAACTATTTACAGTAAGCTGCACAAATTTCATTTGTCAAATTGTTGCAATTAGTGAATTAATTCTAAAATTATGTGTGTGGAAATGTAAACAAATTTAATTTAAATTTAATTGCCAATTCGAATCGGTTAATCGATTATTATCGATAGTAAATAAATACCATGATTAAAGGCATATTTATTTAGAACTGAAAGCGGACCAGACTTCTTGGGGTCTGTCCAGACTTCGTCTGCCTGTTACATTTACTTTCGCAAAACCATTTTACGCAAAGCTAAAGAAAAGTTTAACAAAGTGTTTACCAACACTGCACGAAAATATTTGCGACAATATAAATGCGCAATAAATAATAAATAATAACGGGCAAAACAAAGAGAAAAGAAAGCAAAACAGCAGCTGAAAGTGCCTCCAGAAGCAGCAACAACAGGGCCAGCAACAACAGAGCAAGGCGCAAAAGATACGCCAAGAACTTTAAACTGAAATTGAGAGCTCGTTGACAAAAAATCGCAAGGCAAACAACAGCAAAACTTGCGCCAAAAAGTTTGAAAATTAAATTTTTTAGCGCAAAAAAAAGAACAAAAAATATGAAGAATGAAAACAAAATATGAAACTTGCGAACATTGCACTGTGTATGCCAGAGCCACGCCCCTTGCCAACTTGACAATTGGGGCGCTCGAAACTGAACTAAAAAAAAAAAACGTCAACAAAAAGTGTTGGCCACATTTGCAGTGCGAGCGGCGAGTAGAGCCCAAAATGATATTTCTGGCACAGCACGGCTTATAATTTTTATAGTATGCCCTGTAAAAGCAATCGATAGGGTAGATGTGTTAGAAGAGTGAACAAGATATTATAGTCTGATGAGGGATTATAAGAGTGAAATAGATATCATAGGTATACGACTGTGTCTATACTCTTTTATAAATATATCGATAGTTGAAATGTGTTATCGATAAATGATATATCTATATAATGTTTAACTGCATAAGAAGTTCATCATTGTTCATTAGTTTGCCTTCGATGCATACTCTACTGTTTGCTCTCATATCAATACTGCTTATAGGGTATCTGTTAGTCAGGTGCTATCGCATGCTTGGCTAACATCATAAACGTAAAAATCTGAAAACGCTGGCAACAAAGTTAAGCCGCTTAGACGCTTAGCCGCTGCCCATTTTGTGCTGAGTGTGAAAAGTTTTGTAGCTCAATTTAAGGACACACAGCTGCTGAGTCAATATCGATGTGTGTGTGTGTGTGTGTGTATGTCATGCAAATCAAATGATTAGGCACATCATCATCATTATCAGCAACAGCAGCATCATCATCATCATTATCGTCTGCAACCCTTAACTGAGTTAAAAATCTGTTAACTGGCGCACTGGGCGTATGATTAATAAGAAAACAAGCTGCCAATTTTACATATATCTGTGTGTATATATATGTATGCATTTTAATATATTCATATATATGTGCGTGTGCTGTGCGCCTACATATATTTGTATACAATTAGCGAGCGGCAGGAGAAGCAACAAGCGTGTGGGCCGAAAAGAGTCGACCCTTATCAATGTTTGAAATAGGTCTGACATGAATGCGGCGCCATGCAAATGGAATACTTAATACTTATGTCGAGCATATTGACAGTGCCAATTAGAGCGGGCTGACACGACCAGCACGAGGCGATGCTGAAAATTGTTTGATAGCATCAAGTGCACTCGCATGTAAACTAAACTTTGATATCCTAACTCTCTCTCCCTCTCTCTCTCTCTCTCTCCCTCTCTTTCATGCTATGTCTCCACAGCGTACAGGAAACGGATGGGTCGTATTTCGAGAACTTTACATCGCTCGGCTGGAAACGTGAAAATCGTCGCATGTCGGCGACGCGTGCGGCCGAATCACGTGCCGAGGCTAATCCAGAAAATGAACGTGATCCGCCAGTGCCCGAGGAGTCCATCGAGCGGCACGATGATAAGGAGAAGCTCTATGTGGAGGTGCTGCACACCATAGCCAATACAGTGGGCGCACCTGCGCCCGGCGGGCAGGTGAGTCAACAGCACACACACACACACACATATATATCTATATATACTTGCATATAAATCAAATATACGGTAAAAGGTTCAAACACTATCTATGAATTTTTGATTAAGCTTGAAACTTATGCAAATTACAGCTGGAAATTAACGAGCGGTTAGCTAGATGATAGATGAGGACTTAAAGCCCATCCCGTGTACCACTAAAATGTTGTGCAATTTAAATGATTAATACCGTTTAAGGGTTTTAGGTCCTCGAGGGCAAAGTGTTTGGGCCAAGACACGTTTCGGCATGTGGCAATAAAATTCAATTATAAAAGTGTTTTTTTCTGGTTTTTTCTGTCGATATGAGAGAAGAGCAGGAGATGCGGAGACAGAGGCAAGGACAGAATAAGTAAAAGTTTGACTGGATTTTCATTTCGATTTGCCGTTTTCTCAGTAATTTTCCAATATTTTCACAGGGCCAGAACGCCGGCTGTGACCTTAGCTACATTTTTCAATTATCGTTTTTAATTTAACAGTGAGAAAATTGCACAACTAATGAAACTTTAGTTGAGTGCAGCTAGAAAAGGAGGCGGGAAAGGGAAAGGGGACTGAAGTGGATTCAGGGAAAACTAAGTTGGCTCATTCAGTGGGGGCTTTGGGTTATGGCAGCATAATAAAACTTTCAGCCGTGGCCGGGCAAATGACGTTAGTCCTGCTGTGATTCAGATTGAAGCCGGGGTCAATTCTCACAGGGCCCCAAGCCCCAAGCCCCGAGTCGAGTTGAGTCGCGTCGAGTCACTAAACTTATTTATTCCGCAACAGAGCTCAACGGGCGGCGTTTCCTGCCACGCTCCTGCTCCACATAATGGAAAATAATTACAAATCGCAGCAGCTGCAAGTGGGCTAATGCCTTTAATGCCAACTAATGATTGAATAAATGTGCGTTGCGTTAATGCCTTGACTACGCACAGCTCTCTGATAAGTCGAGCCCCAATTCGCCCAGCGCAACTTTGATTGAAATCTCTAGCATTACAACTCTTCCGAGAATCTTCTCGAGCTTTTTTCTAAACACCACCGAGTCTTTCAGCCAAATCTAACTTTTTGGTCTTGTAAAGTTTTTGCTTTACGTTTTTGCCATAAAACGTAGTTGGCAAAGTTTCTTGATCTTTGCATCGTCGAGTTTTTCCCTTAAAAAAGTGCAGTAGCAAAACTTCTCTTTAGGAGTTTGCCTTTCAATGGGGAAGAGAATACTACAATTAGTACCTGCCTGATGATTTTTCGGAACTCAACTTAACGGGCATTATCTGTGACAAGTTTTTCGTGCACGCCTTGTAATATTTATAAGCAACGATTGGCCTAAGTAGCAAAAGTATCTTTTATTCATAATGTAAATGCTCCAAAATGCCAGAAAGTACTTGAATGAGAGAACTAAGAGAGCAGCAGTCGGAAGTACTCGGCTAAACGATACTCTGAGAGCAGCCGTTTGCATAGACAGCAAAAATATATTATATTCATGACTTTAGTGCTTTTAAATACTAGAGAATACTTCAAAAGTATTCGACTAGCAGATGCTCTATATGCAGATGAACTAAATATTGTATATCAATTTTTAAACTTAAAGAATATTGTATTCGATGGAAACTCTAGCTCTCATCTATTTCTAGATCCAAGATAAATCAACTTTCAATCTCAAACTCAAACTACAGGGCATTGCCCAGTCGAGCTGACTCGGAAAGCTCTTTGTATTTATATAGATGAGCACAAATAAGTCTTACAAATGAGGCTTAGATTTTGCCTAGTCAACAAATGATTGGAACTGTGCGTGGAGGTGGGCGTGGACTTCAGTGTGGGCGTGGCAGCCGAGACTAGCTCAGCTTTCGAGTGAGGCTCGATACTTAATAACTTAGCTGGACTCGCTGCTGCTGCTGCCTAGGCGACTGCAGTCAAAGCAATCAAATTAAAAGAATACCGAAGCGACAGGGGGCGGGGCAGGGCGGGGCCTGGCATAGTTGAGTGGGAGTTGGAGTCGGAGAGGTGATGAAAGCGCCACTTGAAGCGTGTGCAAATCGGCAAGTCAGACTGGAGCGGCTAATAAATTCGACAAGATAAATCAATATGCAAAAATGTGAGAAAATATAAAAAGGAAAATATGCGCCAGAACCAGCAAAAACAACAACAACAACAACAACAGCAACAAAATTGTTTGATATAGGGTCGCGAGCAAGGCAAACAAAACAGAAAAAGACCAGTGAAAAAAATTGTAGTCAATAAAAACAAATAGCTAAGAGTTATTTGAATGGAAAAATACCCTGTTAAAGCGGGCAGGCAAAATGAAAAGGCAAAAAATATGTTATTTAAATTCTTTTGAGGAAAATCAAGTTGCTTAAAATGAAGAGAGTGAGTTGTGCATTAGAAATACCTCTTAGATTTACAGAGCTGGAAAACTAATATTCCCCATTTTAGTCCCAGTTGCAGCTGAGCAACTGAACACCTGAGCACACCTGGCTGCAGCTGCTCAACTGTGAATGCTCAAGTAGCTTTATTATTTCAGCATTTTTCTGCACACGGCACCTGCTGCTGCTTACGTAAATTTTGACAAGCTCATGATACCCCTTTTTATACTCGCTTTTGAAATGAAGAGAGTATATTATGTTTGACTGTTGAAGCGGGTCTGTTGGAATATTGATATTTGGCATAAGATATCAATGGAGAATATAATATCCCCAGGGAAATACTTTATCTGGCATCTAAGAAATGCTAGAGATTAGACAGATAGAATTTAGATTTGTTAAGATAGCCGAGTCTCATTGAAGACCTGGCTCATCAGGTAAAACTCTATCTACCAAAGCCTTTTCAAAAGCAGCTACTGAACCTTTGAGCCCTAAGCGAGCATTCTACAGTCGTTGTTGCAGGACAAAAACATCCTTTTTTTTATTTTTTTATTGATTATAAAACCGCGAAGCGTTATTCAGCAAAAAAAAAAAAAAAGAAAGGAATGCCAATTCATTCACTTAGTGTTTATTTTTTCTCCGTTAAGCAATTTGTAATATGAGTGACAAGTTAATTAAATTGAATGAAATTAAAATAAATGTTTACCGATGCACGCGGCGTATGCGTAATATTTAACACGTACTTAATCTCTCCCACTCTCTCGCTCTCTTTCTATTTCTTACTCTGCCCTTCTCTGTTTACAGTTTGCGCACTATAAGGACGAAATGTATCTGCATGCACAGCGCGCCTTTGGCGTCAATCCGGATCGTCATTATCGACTGCTGCACGCCTCCGCCGAGGATAAACCGAAGATAATCGTCCTCTCTGTGGTCGTCATTGAGGCCGATGGTCTCGAGGCGAAGGATGCGAATGGTAAGCAGAGTTACAGCTCTCTATCTCTCAGTATCACTCTCTACCTATCTCTGCCTCCCTTTGCTCTCTGTGTATCAAGCTGTCAAGTTGTCTCTGTGTATGTGTGTGTGTGTGCGTGTTGTGCAAATATTTTTAGTTTGCAAATTGATTTGCGGCTGCCTTAATAATTGCATTATGAATTTCCTCTCTGTGTATGTGTGAGTGTGTGTGTGGGTGCTTTGAGTGCGTGTGTGTGCCTGATTGGGCGCATCAAAAAGCCAAACGAGTCACCCATAAACTGTTCCCAATATGCGTCATGCTCATATATTTTACATTTTTGTCACATGTTAATAATACCCTGTAAAGTGCAGATATGTGGGTATGCTAGTGTTGTGGCACCGCAATGTCAAAAATATAATAAGAGCTAGAAATTGTGATTGAATAACTAATCGAAAATTAATCTATAATTTTCTTAAGTGATAAATATAGAAAAAATATTGTTTAGCAGTATTAACATATATAAAACCCAATATAAATAACAAAACATACATATATTTGTGATTTTTCCCACAAATATACAGAGCAAAGCTTAACAAAATATTCCACGATAAAAAATATCGATATATATGGAACCTAATATTCTCTACTTATTTCATAGAAAATCAAAATTATCAGAATTGTTCAAATAACATTGTATTTTAATAATAATAATATAATACATAAAGAACTTATAGTTTTGATTGTATATCTATCAAATATAGTCACTATAAACTCTAAACACTTATTTGGTTGTTTCAGCCATGTCACAGTTATGGCCAGAACCCATCCACACTCAGCGAACCGAGCGGCGCTGAGCAAACCGCCAGAGACGCAGGGCCAAAGTCAAGTCATCGACTCTGTTCCGCAGCTCGTTCAATAAATTTGCAATTTAATGCTTCCCATTTTGTTCATTATGCTCGCAGAAGAGCAGCCTCTGCTCCTGCTGCTGCTGCTCCTGCTGCTGCTGCTGCCGCCTTCATCGAAGGCAACGCAATTTCGCATTTTAATGTGCTCAAGGATGTGTAAGGAATACGTTGAGTGCTCGCTCCTGTTGCCAGACTCAGCATTTGCTGTGCTCTGCCTTGCCTTCCTCTCTCACTCTCCCTCTCTCTCTCTCTCACCATCTGCCATCTGCTAAATGTACTGCTGATGGCTAACGTCTGGCTGTTTGCCTGCCTGGCAGCCAATAGCAACAACAACAACAACAACGACAACTACTACTACTCGTTGCCAATGAAACGTGGCTGATGAGTGCCTCGCCTTTTGTTTGGCCTTCCGCAATTGGCCGTAGTCGTTGCCATTGCCAGATCTGATGGCTGGCATCAGGCTCTGTTTTCATTAGCAGCAATCGCTACTATTTCAGCTCAAGCGTTACAAAAAATACCCCAACTCGCAGTTGACTAGTTTTTCTAATAATCTCAGCTAGAGATGGCAGCGTGCTCAGTCCGACTGAATGTCTGCAGATATATCCATCGCTCTCTTAATGGATCAAGTTAAATAATATAATTATGTAATAAAATTAATCTCTGGATTTATCTTTTAAAAAGTTAATATGTTTTTATCCTCAATCTTCAAGCTTCATTGATTTAATTTGTTTTATTTTGTATACTTTGATTTTACATTACTTTGGAAGAATATTATTATTATTATTGTAAACTTTATTTGTAAAGTAATAAAAAATAATAATTATAATATTTTTCTCTCTATTTCTATTTCTGTCTATAAATTTCTATTTCTGTCTATAAATTTTTGCAATTTATTTTTTTCCTAGACTAGGTCTATATTTATCAATATTAGTCTGCTTAGTTGTACATTCATTCGCCGTCCCTTAGGTCTTACTGCTTGGATATTGATACGCCCAATTATTTTTCGTGCTGTTCTCTTTTGTTTTTTTTTTTTATGTCGTGTCTCGTGTCACTCACCCATCTCTATGGCGTGTTAAAGCAATCTGCGCTCGCAGAGCTCGAATTAAATTCGTATAGCCCATTGAAGACATTTAATCGATTATTATCTCCCAGCTGAGTTGCTCGCAAGCTCAGCTGCCGCAAAGGTTGCCACACGCAGTGTAATCCCCTCTATCCCTCCCCCTCCCACTCTCTTCGGCTGTCTTTCTCTGCTCTCTTTGTTACTTTCACTGTGTGTGTGTGTAAATCAGTGGCACTTAATAATTGAGCGGCACTTTATGCAAATGAAATGTTAATCATACGCCCTGTGTGACCAGCAGTGTCTGCTGCCAGCTGACAACCAGCTAGCTGCTGCTGCTCCTGCTACTGCTGCTGCTGCTCCTGCTGCTGCTGCTGCTGCTGCTGCTGCTGCCTGCAGGCGACTATCATTAATTGCCATTTAATGTCGCACGCTTTTCATTAATGTTATAACACTCTCTCACACACTCACTCTCTCTCTCTCTTTCTCTCTTTCTCTTCCTGTGCAGGCTTCTCGGATCCGTATTGCATGCTGGGCATACAGCCGGACGGCGGTCCGCCCGTGTCGCCGCTGCCGCTGCCGCCGACGCCGCGCGCCCTCTCGGCGGACATGAGCGGTGGCTTTGATAACAGTGCCACGGACTCTCCGCCGCATCGCAAGCACAGCTTCCGCTTGAGCTTCAAGCGGCGCGAGGCCGGTCGACGGGAGCAGCGCGACTCGCTGGGCGGCCCGGTCCCAGCCAAGCTCATCAAGGCGACCAGCATCAAGCCCCACACGCTCAGCCCCAAATGGAATGAGAAATTCAAATTGTAAGTGTGCATCAAATGATTATCCATCTTATCGATATAGACACATTTAAATGCCATCACGTCTCCATTATCCGCTCGCTCACAAAAAATTATTCAATTACGGCTCGATGCGTTCGCTCAATTTAGTTTGAAATATATAGAGAATACTTTGGAATTTCGATTTGTAGGTGCCTGGAGACAGTTCATTTCAGTTCATTTACGGCTCGCCGCATGACAAATGTTGCGCATACGCCGCATTGCCCCCAATCCCGCACTCCACTCTCCACACACACACAAACACAAACATTTATCGTTCAGCTGCGATCTCTGACAAACAATGGAGCAAAACAACTTCCCATTGTGGGCCGTAATTTACGAGGCAGGGGAAAGGAAAAAGAAAAAAAACAAAATTTAATTGCGGCCATAAAATCGACAATACATTTAACAATAGCAATTGCAATCGCCATCAAATTTATGTTGCAATTGCAATCAATATAAGCTGCAGCACAGCTGTCCTCAAGGAGCAATTCCGTGTTTTAAAATGCCAATACAACATGGAAATTTATGCAAGTTGACAAGCTGTTGGATTGTTTAGCGTTTACTCAAAGTTGAGCTAGCAATAAGTTGACAAGGAGCTGCCTTGAAAGACTGTGTATCTGCATATGAAATACTTAACTGGTAGATAGGAGGCGTAGCATAAGTTGACGGTGGAAATAAAGTGAGGACAGACAGAGTTGGACATTGCTTCATATACTCATTAAACATGCAAGGAGATTGGAAGACTCTATATGTATTATACGCATATTAAGTAAATACTTAACTTGTAGTTAATCAGTGTGTCATAATTTGACAATAGAAATATGAAAGTGAGGATAGACTGTTAGGAATCACATTAGAATGACAGAGCTTGACATTTATTCATATACTCATTAAACAGGCATTGAGTATTACACTCCTATTAAGATGCTACTTAACTTGTAGTTAATCAGTGTGTCAAAATTTTATAGTAGAAATATGAAAGTGAGGATAGACTGTTGGCAATTACCTTAAAATGATATAGCTAGACATTTATTCATATACTCATTAAACAGACATGGAGTATGGAGGACTGTATATTTCTTACACTCCTACACTTATACTTATACTTAACTTGTAGTTAATCAGTGTAGCTTAACTTGACAGTAGAAATATTCAAGTAAACAGCGTGTGACCTTTGACCGGGCCATGAGAGAGTCAGAGCTGAGCTGCCAGCTGAAGTTAATTATGCCTTCTGTTTCTATAGAATCATTAAACATTTATGCATACAAAATGTAGCCGTAAAGGCTTAAAAGCGTAAAGCATATTCAAAACGTGTTCCCATATCCGTAAATCTGCTCGTAAAGCGCCAAATGAGTTCTTTTGTTTCATATGTGTGGATAATACGAGTCGTAAATATGAAATTTGAGTATTTGCTATAAAAAAGAAACAAGCAAAAGTGTCACAAACGGGAGTAACTGACTGATAGATACCTTGGACTCAGCCCACTGTTGACATTGCCTTTAATCTACATATCTTGGGGGCAGCTGCAGGTAAATTCTGATCAGGAATACATATTATGAGCCCTGCTACACACACATTGGCATAATCCCTTCAATCTAAACTCCCATTTCCCATGAGTCAAGGGTATATACAAGAGTGGACACACTAGAGCAGCTGCTATTAAAGACATGCTTTAAGGGCTTCTCTCTATTTATACCATCGGAGCTCTTGGGGCGGCATTCAAAAAGTGTTGCCTACTTATCGGCGCTGCTGCTAATTAGACAAATTAATGGCGGTCGCATTAGTGGGTCGCCCACAAGCAAATAAATCAAATCAATACTGAAAGCAAATAAATTTTCGTTGCGCAGCGACATCGATGACATCAACACGGACACCTTCCACCTGGACATTTGGGACCACGACGACGAGAGCTGCGTCATGGACGCCGTGTCGCGCCTGAACGAGGTGCGCGGCGTGCGCGGCCTGGGGCGCTTCTTCAAGCAGGTCTGCCAGTCGGCGCGGCAGGGCTCCCAGGATGACTTCCTCGGCTCCGTGAATATACCCATAGCTGAGATACCCTCGACCGGGCTGGACGCCTGGTTCAAGCTGGAGGCACGCAGTCACCGCAGCACGGTGCAGGGCCGCATTCGCCTCAAGCTGTGGCTGTCGACGCGCGAGGATCGGGGCCATGCGGCCGACGAGAGCAACGAGCAGCAGCTGCACAAGCTCGAGCAGCTGCAGCTGGTCTTCATGCAGCACGAGGTGACCACGCACGAGCCCAGCTGGACCTGGAGCGGCGACCTGCCCGGGCCAGCGCTGACCATACTCCATCAGTTGGCGGTGCAGTCGGAGCTGACGGACCTGCAGTGCGCCATGGCCAGGTGAGTGGGCCAACCGAGTGCTCCACAGCGAATAGGCTGCCATTGCTACTTGTCTTTCCAGATACGTGGCCGCTGCTCGACTGAATCGCTCAACGCCCATGGATCCGAAGTTTCTGCATCGCCTGCTGACCGATGTGGAGAAGCAGTGGAATCAGCCCAATCAGGAGCCGCTCACGCGCGACCTGGAGCAGTGGCTGGCGGAGGCAATGAATGGTTTCGTGGAGCGCTCATTGAATCAGATACGACGGCATCGGGACATCTTTCCGGCGCTGAACCCGCCCTCGCTCATACGCCTGGAGTTTCTGCTGCGCTGTCTGGGTCTGCTCGGCTCGATGCGCGCCTTCCGCGCCGTCTGCCCCTTCAACAAGGGCGTGCGCGGCGAGGTGGTGAATGCGCTGCGCAAGGGCTCCATTATGTGGGGGCAGAATGTGCTGCGCGAGTCGCAGTGCCTGCCCAATCCATTATCGAATTTCGTAACGACATTAACCGCCGACATCCAGCTGGGCCAGACCTACTATCATGCGCTCTTCGACAAGTGAGTAAACGAGTCCCGATTACCCCACCTGCTGTGCTCCCATCACCTTTGTCCAGCATTCCATTGAATATGTGCGGCACGTGTCGCATATAAAGCACGCTCCAAGGCCACCCACTCAGCCGCTCAGCCAGACCGCGCTCCCCCCTATGCCCGAACAAATAAAATTCACAAACAGTTTAACAAAAACAGCGCATTTAACCCAAAAAAGAAAATGGAAAACTCCCACTGCAATGGCGATGGCAACAGCAATGGGAATCCCAATGGCAATGGCAACGGCAATCGAACCCATTTACGGTGGTTCAACTGCTCCAGTTCAAGTTTATAGTGCCCACTAATCAGTTGGTTAGTTTGTTAGTTGTTTCAACGGCTATAAACTTCATTAATTAGTAACGAAAGCTCGCTTTGACAGTTGGGTAACTGCACTTAAAATAATATGGTTTCCTCTATTCGATATTGATACAGTAGGCGCTCGTAAGTGCCAACAGCAGTGGGCTACTTGGGCATGGAGTCAAATGCGCTGGAGGGAGAATACTCGGCACTTATAATAGAAGAATACTTTTAAGAGCTACATTTCATGCTTGGCTTGTGTAACGTTACACAACACTGTATATAACGTAACGTTACACAACACTGTATATATATATATATATATATACACACTGTATATATATATATATATATATATATATTTGTAATACTTATCGACTTATCAATTCTTATGCAATGCATTCGACTTTTGTTTGACTTCATTATGCTGTATTCAACTTCCTTGACTTATCGATATGTTGTTATCGATTGTTAGTCAAAACTCGAAATGTGCCTAGTTTATGAGCGTCGACTAACTATAAATGCTTAGCCCAATTAATTTAAAGAAAACTATGTTTCTAGCATTATGATAATTGATTTATCGATTTATCGATTTCTCTATTATTCTGTCAATTTCACTTAAACACGTAACTTTTACGTTCCTTACGGTCTTCAGTCACTAAACAACACTGATTTTGATGTTTTTGGCGCTGGGCAGCACTGCTGCTGCATTGAATTGATCATTATTGAGGCATCGATAACTGGACATATGCTGAGTCCAGTAATTGTCAGCTCCGCAAGGCCAACGCCAACTCGCAGAATCGTATTTAAGAACGGGCATCAGCAATTTATGCGCCTGCACTTATCTAATCAGTCGCATATTTGCTAGTTAGCGCGGCCATAAAAGGTTCCTAATGAGCACATCAAGTGGCTTACACACATAAGCCTCAAATTAATTGCGCTGTCATAAAAATGCGCTCACGTTCCCCAAGCGCCCGAAAGAGGCGCACAGACTGGCATCTTGATGGTCCATTTAAGCTGAGGAAGTGAGTGAGAGGGAGAGAGAGAGAGGGTTGAATTTTCACATTTGCTGTCCGAGCAAGCGAAAGTGTTGAGCGTTGAGTGGCATTGGCAAATTTAGCTGAGGCAATGCCACCAAGAAGCTAATTGTAGCCTTTAAAATGGGGTCGAATGGCAAACTTGAAGCTGATTTTCAGCTCTATCGATTTTCAGCTTAGCTGCGACTTGCCCCAAACAACTACAGTGAGTGCTGGCTTACGAGAACTTTAAGGCAGTCAATTGAGACGCCCCGATTATAAGTGTGTGTCTGTCCGTATAAATCTTGGCTTTTGCTCTGTCTCGGGAGAGGAGTAAGGCAAATCGTGATTCTCCTATTTCATTCCTCGAGGCATTCACTGTAGTTGGCTTAAACATCAATTCGCACATTTATCTCAGCTTGGCTATCTGGTATTCGGTTTTGTTCGCAGCACAAATGGCATTCAGTACTTCAGCATCATCTACAAGCAGTACGACGCGATGATTGGCGAGGAGGTGTACACGCGGATGGCTGCTGGGCAGGTGCCAGGCATTCGCATTAATCTGTCGCAGTATGCGGTGCTGGAGGGCGACGCCGAGCCGGTGGACACAAAGCCATTCGAGCTGTTTCTAGCATTGCAGGAATTCTGTCAGCTGAAGCGCCACTTGTCCGCCCAGCCCCAGCCGCCCGAGAAGCCGCTGGCGTTGAGCAACAGCCATGAGTGGTTCATACCCACCTTCGAGCGCTGGATGATGGTTAGCAAGGCGAAGGCCTTGCAGCGCATTCGTGCTGCGATTCGCATGGATGCCATATGCGAGGGCGAGCGCATCGTGCGCTACAGTAGCTCCTCGGTGGACACGGCCAGCACGCTGCTGAACATTAAGGAGTTCTGGAAGGTCATCAACTGGCCGGACGAGGACACGGCCATCATGCTCGAGGCGCAGCTAATCGACGTCGTCTGCTCGGCGGCCATGCACTACTGCGATCTGATACACACGACGCTGGCGGACAGCGGCTACTACGAGCAGCAGGGTCCGTTCCGGTGCTCGGACGACATGTGCGTCACGGTCAACAATGTGGAGTATGTGCGTCGCACGCTCGCCGAGTTCCGGTCGGACGAACAGCCCCTGGAGGAGTCGGCCGACAATCTGCTGGAGTCGAGCCTGACCCACATGGAGAACCGCTGCGAGCGCATACTCTCGAAGCTGGCGCCGCTCATGCAGATGTCCCTGCAGAAGGCTGTGTTCCACCTGGCCTGGTCGCCGGACTCGCTGCCCGCCAATCAGGCCATCGTCCCCCTGCTGGAGTACCTGGACTGTCACCTGGCCGCTCTGAACAGTGCGCTGCTCACCAAGAACTTTAACCGCTCGCTGCGCTTCATCTGGAAGACGGTGCTGGGCGAGATGGCGCGCCAGATGGAGACGGGCGATGAGACGGACAAGCCCACGCACTTCCACAAGCGCCTGTACGAGGCGCTCCAGCTGCTGGTCGACTTCTTTCACGCCGAGGGCCAGGGCCTCCTGCTGGAGTGCCTGCACACGGAGGACTTCTGGCGCATCGAGCAGCGGCTGCAGTTCCACAAGACGGACACGGAACGCCTGATCGACATGTTCTACATGAATCGCCTGCGCGAGCAGCTCGTGGCAATCATGCCCGGCCCGTATGGCTCCCTGGCCGTGCGCGCCTACTTCAATCACGACTCGCTGTGCGTAGAGGTGCTGCACGCCCGGGACGTGGTGCCGCTCGATCCGAATGGCTTCAGCGATCCCTTCGTGGTCATCGAGCTGCTGCCGCGACGCGTCTTCCAGCACTGCATGGAGCAGCAGACCAATGTGCACAAGGTGGGTTAAGGCTGAGGGTTTACTTTGACCCCACTCTGACTCTTCTCATTGACTTCCCCTTCCCCAGCGCACTTTGAATCCCATTTTCGATGAATGCTTCGAATTTTCTGTTACACTGGAGCAGTGCCTGACCGAAGGCGCCATGATTTGCTTTACGGTCATGGATCACGATGTGCTCACCGCAAACGACTTTGGCGGCGAGGCTTTCCTGGCCCTTGGCAACATACCCGGTGTGGCGGACTACAGCACCAGCGTGGATAACTTCCATGGCCTGAAGCAAATCGAGCTGCCGCTAATGCAGCAGAAGGATAAATGTGAGTACCCAAAATGGCTTTTTCCTCGCGGCGGCAAAGCCAAGCGAGAATGGAAATTGTTATTGTGTGAATGTGAAGGGAGGGAGGGGGAGGAGGAAACAGCTTTATTTGTATGAAAATATATTGTTAGTTATTTAAAGCGGGGTTTGAATGGTTCAATTACATTATTTTCAGATCGAAACAGACTTTGTTTAGGCATCAGTTTATAAGAGGGAGTATCTCCGAGTCGGTTACTCCCGTCCGGGTTACCCTTACTCATTTTCAGTCTGAAATTCAAGTTGATCGAATGATAAAAGCTCTATAAATAGTGAAAGTTATGATTCCATTTCCCAACTTGAAGCTTTAAGGCCCAAGTGCAATATTTATGCAGCAGCTATCGCTGTTCGTGGAAACAGTTTGAATTCGCTTGGGTTTATGCAGCCTTCACAGCTTAATCCCTACGCTTTTTTCGTTTTCCCGTTACCTGCAGGCAATCCGATTTTGCAAATACTGGAGCTGCGCGTGAACGACAAACAGGCGCAGGATTTCGTGCGCAAACAGAAGGCACGTTTCATCAACTGATTCTAAGCTGGAGCCCAGGTGAGCATCGTTTGAAAAACGTAACTCAAAAAACGTAGAGAAACTGAAAGCGAAAATTGACGGCATGCAATCAAATTGCATAATATTTAGGCAAACTCTATTCATTATCATTATAACTTTTTTTTTTTTTACCCTATATATATATGAGTAATGTATAAAGTAAAGAAAAACAAATACATTGTAACTATTCTGTATTTATGTATTGTGTAATGTAGTTGCTTGACACTGAGAACCACTCTCTTCCTCTGTTTGTAAATGTTAGAAAATTCATGAAATTCAAATGGTGCATAAGTAACAAGTAACGGGACGAGCGGGTGCTCACACACCCGAAACTCGTGCCCAAATGTTCTAGACTTTACGTTGGCTACAAACATCACCCACATACCACATAATACCTATACAAACACACACATATAGACAAATATATATATATACATATATTAGGGACTATCTATGTAGGAGCGTAGTACTTGCTGAAATTGTCACAATTAGGCAAAACCTATTTGTAGATCTTAAGCAAACACTCAGAGACACACATCTAGACACCGAAAACAAACATTTCGAGGCACCCAGCTGCGTTTTGAAGACTTTTACAAAAAGACACGAATCATCAAGCGACAAGTTTCGGTTCGAATCGAAGCTAAAACTTGCAGAGTTCTTATAAAGGAAGAGAATATTTCAGAGAACTATTTTCGAGACTAAAGCACAAATTCCTTATCCAAAACATTATCATTTCCGATAGTTCAGGTATCTAATATATAATTGAGATTTTCGTACATGCCAATTTAAAGTTCTACTCTTCCGTTTAGGACTCTGCAAGTGAATGAGTATTAAAATCTAACCACAAATTTTTTTGAGTCAATTTTAGCTACAACTAACTATCGATATCTATCGATCAAAAACCTTTTCTATAAAACGCCAGTGAAAGAACCTTAAAAACAATCAAAATATGCGTAACTCCGAGCTTCTTTAAACAAACCCTACTTCACACACACATACTTACTCTCTCACACACACATACAAGGCTATTTACAAATGAAACAGAAAATCATACAACTTCATATGAATGTATACAATGAATATACCTATATATATATATAAATATATCACGCCCAAAGGACAGTGTAACTAAGTCTTTAGAATATTTGTAAACTATTTTCTGAGCACGGATTTTGTATAAATTTATGGGACACACGCTTGCACACAGCACTGTGGGCACAGTGAGTGCCTGAAGTAGCCTTCAGCTGATTGCTTTTTATACACTTGACTTGAGGCTTCTTAAAATTACCAAGAAAAAAAACAAAAACAAAAACCTTTAAAACTATTTTTGTTTTAGTTTTTGTTCATTTCGAAACCTTAGAGAAGTTTTCGCTTCTATTGTAAATTTTGTACTATATACAAATGTCTATATACATACACACACACTCAAACACCCACACACACACACATACATATATCTTATATGTAAATGGATAATAGGAATTGTGTTTGAACTGTAATTCTTAACTGTAAACTTTTTATACCTTTCGCAAGGCAACAGAGAAACAGGTTTTAAAAGTTGAAGCGCAACAGAAAGAACTAAAATATTTAAAATAAATAAAAAACAACATTTTATTAAAAGCACAAAAAATCAACAAAAATCCAAGTCAAATTATATAGAAAAACAAAAAACAAAACTAAAAAATATTTTTAATATATACACTGAAAGACGACTAAAAACTTCATTAAAATTAATTACAAAAACTGAAAATAAAAATGAATGAGTATTATATTATATACATACCATATGTACTATAAAAGTATTTATATATGTACATGAACCATATATGAATTATGCAAAATGCAAAACACAATTAAAATAATTTAGTATTTAAGCTAATTATATTAGAAAGCTAAATTCTTTTCATTTTCAATCACTTTCAAGTTTCATCAGGGTTGACGCACACACATTAATCAATAAAGGTAGCTAGTTGACAACCCTGGCTGACTATAGAGTTGCCGTATGCCACATCGAAGTGTAATTCAAAGCTGCCTAAGCCCAAGTTGGTTAGGTAGGAAAGATAGAAAAGCTTGATATGTGATACCCTGAACCTTCAACTGTTTTCTGTACTCGAACTCAGCTCTGCTTAAGCTTGTTTCAATTCCAGCCATTCCACTTATGAATTCTGTTCATTCTTTGTCTACTTCACTTACCATCCGCCTTTTCGTTTTCGATTTTTGAGTTTTTCCACTTGTAGTTGTATTATTTGAACTGTTTCATTTCCAATTGTTTCAATAAGAGCTGTTTTATACTCTTTTTAAACTTTTGCTTTTGTATATACCTAATTGCTTCGTCTCGTTTCCACTTTCCGTGTTGCACTTTGAGTGTTTCACTTTGACTGTTCCACTTTGAGTGCATCAGTTTGACTGTTTCACTTTGCTAAACTTTGGGTATCCAATGTCCCACTCCCAATGTTCCAGTTTCAGTATTAAATTTGCAACTGCTTCAGCTGCATCTCTCTCCCTCTCTCTCTCTCCCACACTTTCATTTGTTACCCCAAAGCACTTGCACTCGTTTCTCTCTCAGTTCCCCGACCTTGAATTAGCTGCAAACAAAAACTGCTCTCTTCCATATCTAAGTAACAAATAGCTAATAAATAAGTAAATCAATTTATGCATATAAACAATAAATAGGCAAACTATTTGCCACACTAAGAAAAGTAACCAGACAACTACTGTGTCGACGATATGTGTGTACCTCTATCTATGATAATTTCCTAAAGCGTAAAACAAGAAACCGAAACACAGACAGAAGTTGAATAAATCAAATCAAATTATGCATATTACATAGTATAACGAGCACTAGAAAATAATGTATTGCAAAACCAAAGAAACAAAAAGAAGTTACATATAAAACCAAATCAAATCAAGCAAATTGAAACTAAAATGAAAAAAAAAAAAAAAAAATGCAAAAATTGGCCAAACCAAATTGAGACCAAAGGCATTTACAAACCAACAAACGAGCAAGGGGATAAAGAGATCAAAAACATGAAAAGGCCAAAAGGAATGATAACTATTGAACAAATATATATATAAAGTATATACAGTATATACCGAATTGTTAAGCTCTGGTAACAAATGCAACAAGAACCTACAATAAGCCCTCCTACAAGATTATACTACGATATACATACATATATACATACATATATGAAACTTATACAAAGGCAAAACATATGAATGCTATATACAAGCAAACGAAACAACTACTATTTTTCTTGATTTATCTACACACACACACACACACCAACACATATACACACACATTTATAAATTGTTACTGAATGTTGTTTAAATATTTTTTTGGTTTTTATATACATATATATTTTACTTAAATAAGCCAAGACAAACGCAAACGTTTACCGCCGAAACAAAACAGTAAAAACTACCTAGCTAAACTCTAGAGCAAAGTTATATACATAAATGATATATCATTTTTAAATGTGTGCTTTAAGTGTGTTATGAGAACTACTAACAGAGCCACGTGCCGGTTCCTAAAATTCCAATTTAAATATGTAAAACTACACAAAGAGAAATCAAATTTTAAGAATTACATCAGAAATAGCAAAAATTCCATAAATCCTAAACTAACAATAAGTGTGTGTGCAATAACTGTTTTAAATCACAACAACAACAACAAAAGCATAATCAAAGCAAAAACCAAAATTTAACTAAAATTCATACTTAATATATGTGAAAAACAAAATGAAGAGAAAACTTATCAAATTCAATCAATAAATGTCAATGAATATTTAAAATAACAGCATTATTTATTTACAACGGAATATTTTTAGATTTATTCGTTAACTTTAATTGACTTTTATTCAATTTCTGGTAAGTATTTGACAACAGTTGGTAAGATTCATAAACAATCTTTGTGGTTGACTACAGATGCATACATTATAATATTATAGTATATATACTATACATGCATTTATTTCTGCTCATTGCTTAAGCTTGTGTCCTCTTACCCTTTTTAGCAATGGTTTGAGGTTATTTTTCGTACTTGGGCTGGTTTCGTAAGTTGTGGCTGCTTTAGTTCACGCTGCTAACAGGTCTTTGTTAACTTCTCCATTCACGTCGAAAACAAATGTTTCCAGCTTACTTCCTTAACTGTCCTTGGCTCACTTTATGTTTCATGTACCTAATCCATGGTCAGCTGGCAGAGTTTTTATAACCCATTCGCCGTTTAATCAGAGACTTAGGTTTACCTTCAGGGCTATCGTCGGTGCTGCAGAGATTTGACTTGGGACGGCTTCAGTGCACGATTCAAACTGATTTCTTTGTTGCATCCTTACTAAGTGAATTGACATTAGTTCTGCTCACGATTTAGTGGTAATTTCTTATGTTTTAATTCAACCAGTTCTTTCTTATATTCCTTCTCTTTCAATTCAATCATTTCTTCCTATACTCTTTCTCTCTTTCTCTTCTCTTTCAATGTTTGTATTCTTTCAGAAAGAATATTTCAATTTAATCAGTTCCTTCTCTTCTAATTCAAACCATTCTTACTCATATTCCCTCTCTTTCAATTCCATCAGTTCTTCCTATATTCTTTCTCTTTCAATTCACTCATTTCTTACTCATATTCCTTCTCTTTCAATGTTTGTTTTCTTTCATCTCCTTTTATAAAATTCCACATTTATCAGTAAAAAAATTTGCAAATGCATCTCAAAGAAAATTTCAATTTTAAGCCGCTTTGCGGTCTTCAAGAGGTGGTTCTTTAAAAATCTGGCTGCACGGCAAAGCTATTAGCCTGATACGGCGTAATAGTCTAATCCACTTGCTGTTCTCATATCATCAATGGGTTTACACCGTTAGGTAGATATGGTGTGCGTGTGTGTGTGTGCGTGCGTGGGTTCATGAAAATAAATTGTCGTCGCTGGCAAAGGTTGCGGCAAGTGTTTATGGAATTGATTTCAGTGCAATATGCGTGTGGTCGGGGTGGATGGCTGCAAAGCTTTTATCTAAATTAAATCCAGGCCACGACACATGCCAAGTCCATGTCGAGGTCGATACACTCACTCCCTCCACTCTCCACTCTCCCTTACCCACTCGCTTCCTCTCTGTTTCTCTTTGTGTTTCTCGCTCGTTGGCGCCTACGCTTGACGTGCAAATGATTTGCCATTTGGCGTGTCATCAAAGCTAAAAACTTAATGTGCAGTCCCGTCTTAAGGCTGCAAGTACATACACCCACACACACACACACACACACACACACAGTGTGTGCTGCACATTGTTCAAGAAAAATCTGTGCAGTTTTATGCAACTTTTATGACAGCAGGAGCAGCAACAGCAACAGCAGGAGCAGCAACAGCAACAGCAGCAGCAGCAACAGCGACAAAGTTTTTACGACTGCCAACAATGCGAAAATGTGAATAAAAAGTAAACGCACACCAACACTCACGCACACACACTCACTCACACACACATAGACACACCCACAACACATAAACAAAGAAAAGTTCACTATATTCTGACCTGACAAATACAAGTACAAGTGCTTGCCACTTGGGGGCATGCCACACACAAATGTCTTGGGCCCGGCGCTCTGCGAAGTTGCGACTGGAGCTCCTTAACAATTATGAAGCTGTCGCCGTGACAGTGGCAATAGCCTACGCACACACACACACACGCATGTGTCAGCCCACGGCAAATTGTGGCATTGACAAGTTTTGTGGCTCGAAAGGCGCGACAACTTTTTGCCTAAGCCACAAATTTCAATTTCAATTTAAGCTACAGCAATGCACATACATATATTTTTTGGGCTGCATTTAAATTCAGTGTGAAGGTGTGAAGAGGAGTGAGAGAGAGAGAAAAAGAAAGAGAGGGGGAGAGGGAGCGAGGCACACTGAAAGCAATGAAGCAGAACAAAGCTCCAAGATGAAAGTAAGACTTCAAATCAGAATGTTACAAGCAGAGTGGAATAAGTATTCAACATGTCCACAATCTATTAAAGGGTATACATGTTGCAGCTTGTCATATTCATTCACATTTTATTCTGACTTACAGTTTGGAAATCTTTTAAAGACTTTCTTCATAAGTTTCCATTCCCTCCAACGCTCACTGTGAACAGCTCAGGGCTTGATCTGTTAGACTCGACTGCAATATGCCCTGCGTTTAGTCGCTTTCAGTGTTTATTTAAGCCAGTGCAGCCGGAACTATAAAGTACGCGATATTATTTTAACCGCAAACTGTCTTGCTTGTTGTTCGTCTTCCGCTATTACTCAGTTTATTTTATGCCCCTTGAACATGCCCTTTGGAGGACGGGCATATTTGTTCTGTGTCAATTAGAGTAACTTTGAAATGATATGTATATTATATATATGCTGCGATGAATATGAATAGCTAATACATATATCTAGCCATCTCGTTGTCCTACTACTTTCGATAGGTATATTTGAGCAGTCGATTAACTTATCGATAACATGTAGTTGTTGAGATAAATTACATAGTAAGATTTGTCATTTGATAAAGAAATATTGAGGAAAGTCCTGAATAGTAGCTGAGTTAGTAATGGAAATGATATGAAAATCTTTATAAAGTAGCATAGATACATATGGCTTCAAAGAATAGCAATGGAATATCTCATTCAGTATTTGAGAGAGTTCCTATTTTGTCAACCTATAAAAACAGACATCTACAAATCCCATCGATGTCTTTACTAGAATCAAGTTCGATATGATAGTCCACATTCTCTAGGCCCAACTAGCATATCTAGTCTTCAGGAGTCTTCTGCTTTCAGCATATCCATTGCCTATCATCTTTTCTTTTCTTTTCTTTTCTCTCGCTTCCACCATAACTTCTAGTCGTGCATACCCGCTTGATACACTTTAACTTTCCCTCTATTTTCCTTTTTTTTTGCGGTTTTCAGCGCTCTGCCCGCGAGCTGTTCGCATAAATTTGAATGCGAATTTTTATTTGCATGCCAGCAGCTAGTGCAGCAGTCACTGATGCTGCATTAAACAGCAGCAAGTGTGGCCAATATTAAAAATATGCACCACACACACACACACACGCAAGTGGAGCACACATACACATGCACATGGAGGGTCTGTGTTCATTATCGATGCCATCCGACGGGCACTTTCCGTAATGACTTTGGCCCCAGCCAACGCTTGCCACGATGCAAATTAGGCGTTAAGGCTGACAACGTTTTTCCACAGCAATGCAGCTCGCCCCCTCACCACTCCCTCCATTACCACCCGCCAGCTATAGCCACCCACTGTGGCATGCGTTGCAAGTCACGTGCGGCTGCTGGGCGAGCCAACCAGAGCGTCTAATGAAGTGGCCTCTGTGTTCCGGCGCTTGCGGCAGGGCGTGAAAAACTGCCACCTTCCAGCTCCCCCAACCCACCCCTTCGGCTAGCCGCATGGCTTTTTTGTTGCACGTGTTGCAGAAATTTCGGTTAACGGTTATTAAATGCAGTTTGACAACAAAAATGTGGCAGCAAAAGTGCAAAGTGCAGACGCAGCGACACGCTCTCTCTCTCTCTCTCTCTATACTTGACTGGCCTGGCCTCTCTCACTCTTGCCCGCTCTCTCTCTCTCTCTCTCTCTCTCTCTCTCTTTGGGTTGATCGCCTGCTCCAAAACAGGTTTTGCGCTCAGTTTTTAGACCAGTTTAGACCAAACGCAGGTGCGCTGCGCCCAAGCGCCGATCAGTTCGAGCTGAAACCGCGACGCGTCGCCACGCAGCCGCGCTTCACATAAAAATAAAAATAATAAAAAGAAAAAATTAATAAAAAACCGAATAAACTCGAAAAAAAAAGTGAGCAGGCAGCAGCAATACGTATATTCAACTATTTTTAGCGCATTACGTGAGTGTCATACGAATTTGGCAGCTGAGCGCAAGCAACAAAAAAAGCAAACACAAATGTGCTAAATAGTGTACACTGTACTACAGGCCCAACAAAGTCTTTCTAACAAGCGCTGCCCTTTGGCTATGTGTGTGTGTGTGTGTGTGTGTGTGTGTGTAGGCGCATAACTCAGCTTGAGCCAAGCCAAAAAAAAAAAAAAAAACAAAATACAAAACCTGCTGCTATTATTAGCTTAAGCCAAGATTATGGCCGATTTGGCTTGGCTCTCTTAGTCCATTGTGGGCTGGCTAAAAGTGCCTCTGCCGCTGCCTCCCTCTCCCTCTCTCACACACTCTCTGTCTCTCTCTCTTAATGTTGTGTGAAAATCTGCAACGCCTTTCATTCATGCCAAACGATTATATCACACATATGCATGTGTGTGAGTGACTGTGTGTGTGTGTTGGCTGTCGTTTTGGCCAGAACCAGTAAACCATCCACACACACACACACACAGACAGACCTACACAACAATTTTTGCATAAATCAAGACGTCATTGATACATTTGCCTATATAGAAATTCAGTTATAGATAGAGATGTTTATCTATATACGTGTGTGTGTGTGTTGCTTGATTGACTGACTAATTGTTATTTAATGCCTAGAACTAACCGTTAAGCATATAAACCTAAATTCTTGGCTACAGTTATTCGATTTCAATTCAACTCCGCGCTAAGCCAGGGAACAGAGCTGGAAAAGCAGTTGGCCAGAAACCAGAGCTTGGCTGAATTATGTGCTAAGAGATGGCATAAACAACTGAAGTAAAGTGAAGCTATAACAAGATCTTTATAGAGCATAGAAAATGCCATGAAAAGAGGTGAAAAACTCCACTGCAAAGAGCCTGGTGAAAATGCATTTTCGTAAACGTTTTACACAGTTTGCGGCCAAGTCAATGCCGCTTGGATAAATGAATGAGAATGAATGGAATAAGCCAGGCATAAAGCCACTGCTATACGGCATAGCTATAGATACACACACACACACTAGCACACACATATTGCTATTTATGTATCTATAACTATAAATTTGTTTATTTTTCTGTACAACAGACGCCAGTGAAGTGACAGTGCAATGAAATGTGTGCAACAGCGCTATAAAAACAACAACAACAACAACAACAACAGCAACGAAACACTAACAACCTGTCGTTGTCGCTGGCAAAGCGTTAACAATAAATAAGCGAAACAATAGCAGCAATAACAACAACAACAACAACACTTGACTGTACAACAATGAGCAGAGAAGGTAAGCCAGTTTTTTTTTTTTTGTGTTTTTTATTTAAACCCACAATCGTGCATTGGTATGCATTTATGCATGCAAAACAACAACAACAACAACACACACATGTAGAAGCACACACACTTAAGGCGTCCACACACGCCTCACACATTTGCGTGTTTATTGCCATTAATTTTATTTCGCTTTAAATGAAGTGCAAGTGTCAATAGGAGCTAAAAATATCTATATATGTATATGTATGTATGTATATGTCTATATAATGCGTGTGCGCTTTATGGGATAGAAACTGGAAAAGTTAAGATTAACAATAGTTGATCTATAATCAAACTACACGTTCTTATAGATATGCATATGCATATGTATATGCAAACTATCTGTAAGATAGTTTTAGGCCTATAGCATTGAATTTCAAATATTATCTAGCTGAACTAACTCAAGTTGAGAATGAGATAGATGAGCTAAGTTAGTTTGAATGAGATTTTAACATAGATACATTTAATTGAGTTTATGTCGGATATCAGCTACATAATAATATAAAATTATACATCTTTTAGATACAAATCTATCAGGTTTGTATTATCCCTGTGTAAAACTGAAGTAAATAAAGAAAGAATTGAAATAAACTCGACTTAATAAACTTAACTGAGCTTGAATAGATGGAATTATATTAGATGAATAATATTCTAGACTTATATTCATTTGGTATCTCCATCAGTAATACAATAAGAGATACAGGTATAACAAGGTAAATGAGATACATATAACATTCACTCTCTAAAAAGCTTTGGAGATCATAATCTTTCATAGTTCATAATCATTCAGAGATCATGCGTTTATCTATCAGCTCAGTAGGCAGCATATTTTGACTGAGATGCAGCTGTCAGATACACAATAATCATAAAGAGATCTATTAGACACACTCTGTAAGATATACGTATTCCCAGCTAAATAGGCCTTCACTCTCAAACTAGAAGATCATGGCGTAAACTTTGATATATTTATGATGTGACTTCTGTCTCTGACATAACACATTAGAGCACGTAGAAAAAAAACACAATTTGGCTGTGTGTCGGACTATCTCAGCGTATGGCGCCCCATAAAAACTCACTCTCCATAAAGAAACACAGCCTATAAATCTTCAACTTTGAGCTAGAAGGTCACGTGCTTGGATTTCATACATCTCCAAGATAAACGCTCTCTAAGCTAAACACTTCATGGCATAAGGTCATGATGCAGCTGTTTGTTTCCGCAGCTCTTGAACTCTGAACTGCAAAAGTTTACGGCGTGGGTGCCGAAAAAAAATATATATATGTATATTATATATATAGTTAACAACAAAAAAGTGAAACTGAAACTGAGACTCAGACGAAGACTGAGACTGAATTCTCGCATTTGGTTGACCGTGAAAAGTCAAAGACGCAGCCAGAGACAGAGCCAGAGCTGTTGCCTTTTATGAGCATGATTCAGATTTTTTTCTTCCAGTTCAGTCTGTTCTCTCTCCTCTCTCTCTCTCTCTCTCTCTACTCGTTTCTCGTTTGCTTATGTCATTCGGCAACGATTTGTCAGCGCAGCGGAAATCCAAGCAGCGCCAAATTAAAGCCCGAGTGCAGGAAAATGTTGATTAGTTGGCCAACGCATTTGGCCAATTGCATGGGTCGCTCTGGCCATTTTCATAGCTGGTCCCAGCCATTTGCTTATTGATAATTATCGAAACGCAGCAAATACCATTGCCAAATCAATGCAGACGAGGAAATTAATTGGCCGAGCGCAGCTCGCAATGCGCTTATACGAAAGATTGGCTAATCTGGAAAGAGAAACTTGGCTTTTTTCTCTATAAGACAATTCGATTGTATCTTAGCTAAGGAAGTAAGAATGTTGTGTTGATGAACAATTAAATCTATTCAGCGATCACCCTTTTTCAGACTTGACAAAGGCTGCGACTATATCATGGGTATATTTCAAGAGAGAGTCTGAGACTTGTTAGCTGTGGAACTTTTTTGCCACATTTGCCACACCCCGAAGAATGTTGTAGTCGAGCGACTGACTGAACGACAAAGATGACTCTTTTCAGATTTGACAAACTACAAGGGGTCGAACATATCAGTTAGAGGTCTATCTGTGGAGCTGCCGCTTTTTTAAATTGACTGTTATAGATATAGCTTCTTTTCTAACATATCTCAAAAGGAAGGAATCAACAATGGTCTCCAGCTCTATAGCTGTGATAGCTAAAACTTCTTTTCGATTTGTCATAAACGACTATCTACATATCTTAAAGATATCTTGTCCTTTCATCTGGGGAAACTCTTTAGTTTCAAATGCAGCTGTAAATCGAAATCATGAACCATAAAAAGTCATGTGACAAATCTATTTATAATAAAACCATAGACGTAACATCCATAAAGCTGCACCAAAAAACTCAAATATACGAGCTCTTACTCAAGTTATTATCATAATCTAGCCTCTCATCTGTAAGACAATAGACGCATTACGGAATCTACATACATTTCGAGAGGTTGTCGTTATTGTTGTCTTGTGGTTTGTCGCCTGCTCTCAGACAGTTAGCTTTTCACTTCCCAGACCCGGTCAGACCCACTGTGCATAACAGAGAACTGGATTTAGCTTCTCTTTATTCGCTGCTGTTGTTGTTATTGTTATTGTTGCCCCTCGAATTTTTTTTTCGGAGTAGTCGCAGCGCACAAGAAGGGCCGCTGGCGATGTTGATGATAAAAAAATAAAAAAACAGTCAGCGATGCTTGGCGCACGCCATGCCTCATGCCCCGTTCACCGTGCCCCCAATTCACCATTGCCCAAACCAATAGCAGACAATAAAACCAAGGAGAAAAGAATAAATATGGATTTGCCTAAAGATACTCTCGATTCGACTGGCCGTTGACTTATGATAAATTCAGTTATTTTAGTTCGATATTTCTTGAGCGAAAGTTATCGATCAAAACTTATCAAATAAAACTGTGAAGCGAATTTGACTTCTGTTTCACTTTTATTGATCCGCTTCAAAGAGAACTTTTTATAGAAGTTTAGCATATGGATTCATCATATCCATTCTCCCATCTGTAATATTTACAGGGTATGTCAGCAACTTGAAATTTAAAACCAACGCCAACGGCACAAAACTATTTCATTCCGCTGATGACAATGTTTTGATAGTACACAATAATTTTTTGGCTTTTAGATTTATATGTATTATAGTATATATATTTATCTTTTGGGGTCAAGTCGCGATGGTAAGTGGACGCAGCGTCAATTAGTGCAAAAGAGCTGCAAATTTGTGTTTGACAGTGTATGCATTAGGTCGTGTATTCCGTTACGTATGTGCATGCAATGTTTTGCGACAATTCAGCATCAACTTCAGCTACAACGAGGCAACAACAATTGACAGGGAAAGTTACGCAATAGTGCGGCATGTAGTTGCTGTTGTTGCTGTTGTTGTTGGGGCTATTTAAGACAGGTTTGCAACAGATACTGTTGCAAGCGGACAACGCTGCGTATGCGCATTATCATCAGCCTGACACGAACATCAAACGTTGAAGTTTGTCTTTTTTTTTTTTCTTCGCTTTAATGCAAATGCGCAAGCTTCAAAATAACAAATAAAAACTCGTAAATCAATCAGCGCTAATCGCCATTCAATCGAGTTTGCAGAGAAATGTATGGATTTATATATATACATGTATAATATATAGATATATACGCATCAGCTTGAGTAATCAACACTTTGAGCGTTCGTCAACTGCATGGCGAAGCAAGCCATAAAAGAGAGACGAATGAAGCTAATAAAGTGATTGCCTAACAACATTAGCTCATGTGACAATGGAAGAACGATAAATATAATCGATAATTATCGACAAACAATATATTTTATATGAATCTATCATCATAATGCATTGTAAAGTCGAGTAGTATATGAGCAATATATTATATATATATGGATATGCATAGCTATAGTTATAAATATTTACCGATAGGTTCGAGCAAGTGTCTTACAAAATAAAGTAGTTCATGTATAGCTGTAAAAATAATCAGCTAATTGGTTAATTAATTATCGATATTACTATTTATCGATTAGCTACCTGTCAAGTAGCGCTCGTCTAACCACAAACTCAAATATAATTATATTTATAAATTTTCATTTGACATTTGAGCGCTGCTCTCTGACTTGGCCAACTGAAATGCACAGATTGTGATGCTGATGCCGATGATTTCATCACGCAATTAATATCGCGTGTCATTGAAAAGCAAAGTTACATAAAAACGTTGCATCTGAAATGCCTCAAATCAAATGCCAGCACATGCGACAAGTATGGAATATTGATCAACCAGATATATATATTTATATATATGTGTATGCATGTGGATGCATAGATCTGTACATTCCACTAGAGACTATATATTCAAATATATGAATATGCATGTATAGATGAACATACGAATGGATAGTTACTTGAATATATGAATAGATGTTTGAATGTATGGATGGATGATATGTAGAGATATGTATATATCGATGTATGCATATAAACGTATATGTAGGATTCTCTTTAAGCCTTATTTCATATAATACATTTATACATGGGTATTTATGTATATGAATTCCCAGCTGATTATTTCTTTTCCATGTTCATAACTTTTTACTCTTGGCTATTTTTATGATTTTTGTGCTTATAATGAACAAAGACCGGAATCAAATTAATTCACAAGCAATCAAAAAGTTAAGAGAGAGAGAGAGACAATAAAACTATAACAAAACATTTCCGGGTGTCGTTGGTCGTATACCCTAGCAAAGCGAATGTCAACTGAACTACATGTACATATGTATGTATGTATACATATGTATGTATTTATGTATACA